TCAATTTTTTGTCATAGGGTGCTGGCAGATTACGGGCCTCCCATAGCTGCTGCCAGGCCCCTACTCTGCCATGGGCCCCTATACCGCCTCCTCATGCTGCTGCCAAGTCCAGAGTCTCTCTCATGGGTCCCTGTACGGCCTCCCATTGCTGCTGTCTCCATCGCCACACTCTGCCATGTGCCACTTTCAGGTCTCCTCACACTGCTGGTGTGTTCCATTTTTTGTCATAGGGTGCTGGCACATTACGGGCCTCCCATAGCTGCTGCCAGGCCCCTAATCTGCCATGGGCCCCCGTACCGACTCCTCATGCTGCTGCCAGGCCCGTAATCTGTCATGGGCCCCTGTTGTCGCTTGTTGGCATATTCCGCTCGTTCAGATGCTCCTTCTCCTGCTACTCCTCTTCACGGATTCCGTCAGCAGTCTTTCTTGGAATCCGTTTCCAAGAGACAACAGTTTGCGAGCACGCACCCGACGGTGCAGAAGCTGAACGTCCTCCTGTCCAAGTTGCTGCTGCCAGGCTCGTAATCTGTCATGCGCCCCTGTACCGCCTCCTCATGCTGCTGCCAGGTCCAGAGTGTGTCATGGGTCCCTGTACGGCCTCCCATTGCTGCTGCCAGGCCCGTAATCTGCCATGGGCCCCCGTACCAACTCCTCATGCTGCTGCCAGGCCCGTAATCTGTCATGGGCCCCTGTACCGCCTCCTCATGCTGCTGCCAGGTCCAGAGTGTGTCATGGGTCCCTGTACGGCCTCCCATTGCTGCTGTCTCCATCGCCACACTCTGCCATGTGCCACTTTCAGGTCTCCTCACACTGCTGGTGGTTTCCATTTTTGTCATAGGGTGCTGTATGGCCTCCCATTGCTGCTGCCTCCACCGCCACACTGTGGCTCCACACTCTGGTTTTGGCCCCGTGACTGCCCAAATGAGTGAAGTGTGCGGTGATTCTAAGATCGACGGCACTCATCTGCATGTCATACTGACTGTCAGTATTATTTCTCTTCCCCAGCAGACTCCAAGGGCATTTAAATTAAAGGTACAGTGTTCTGCACTAATATAAAGGCTCTCTGAAGCCTAGAAACACCCTTTTATAAGTTAAATTCGCAGCGAATATATTCGACTCGAATCAAAATTTTTCCACGAATTCGCCGAATCAGTCGAATCGAATTTTTGAATACTTCGCTCATCTCTAGTGCTTACAATGATCAATTTCTATTTATGTAAAACATTTGTCCCAAAAGAAAAAACTGCTGTTGTAACTGCTTGTCAAATCTTAGCTGAAGTGCTGAAGTTTAGCTTCAATTTGTTAGTGTATCTAAATCTGATAGTACATCTAGCATGCCCCTACCCTCAGATTAACAATGCTGCTATCCAAAGGTGCCCCCTGAGCTCCTTCATCCAGAATGGTAGCACGCTATTACAGGATGTGTGTTACTGGCAAGATCACCAGGTGAAAACATAGGGAAAAAAAGACTAAAAAAAAAAAAAAGAAAAATATTGCAACCACCACATCTAAGGATTGGTAAGCTGAAATATCCACTTCCCATCCGACGTACGTTTATAAACGTCCTCGGAAGGGAAGGGTGATATCTCGGTCATCGCTGCAGCAACCCCCCCCCCCCCCCGCCACCTTTACTGGGCTCTCCCATGCAATTGGAGAGACCGGCGGCAACCATCTCTAGGCACACGGTAAGAGGAATGGATGTCATTCTTCCCACTGTGTAACATCAGAAACAGGAAGTGACGAGGATTTAGTTACTTTCTGTTTTAGTACTTTGTTTACCTGGCCATTACCATCCAGGGAAGCAGCCGATTAGACCAGTCTGTGTCTGATCAGCTGCATTAATAGACCCCAGATCTCTCTACAAAGAGGACCTGTCACGGCTCATGCTGTTACAAAGGACATTGTTCATCCCTTGTGATAGCAATAAAGTTGATTAAAAAAAAAAAGTTAAAGTTATAGTGGTTAAAAAAAAAAAAAAAAAAAAGGGATTTTTTGTTACTCACCATAAAATCCCTTTCTCTGAGTTCATTGACGGACACAGCCTTTCTTAATGATCCATAACCAAACAGGGTTTTATAGCCCCACCTACAGGAGTAGACACTAGGCAGAAAAAAAAACTCGGCACCTCCTATGAGCAATCCTCTCTGGGTATAAAAGCCCCTTTCTGCTATAGGTCTCCAGTCAGTCACAAGCAGTATCAAAGGAGAAACTCCCAAGAGGGGTGGGTGCTGTGTACATCAAGGAACTCAACGAAAGGGATTTTATGGTGAACAAAAAAGCCTGTTTTCTTTTACATTCATTGATGGACACAGCCTTTCTTCATGATCCATAACCAAACATAGATGTCTCAAAGCAGTGCTTCAACGAGGGGTGTGCAAACAAAAAGGCAAAAGAAGCAACCAGGCAAACATGCCAACTACCCAAACAACCACAAAGGACGCAAACAAGGAAGTCAAAACAGCTGGCAAAACCGTGCAGCCAAAACAAGCATCCGAAGATGCAAACACGGCAACTATGGAAAAAAATACATCAAAAAGCCACAGACGACACGGAAACCCCTTGCAATCCAAAGCACAGATGTCAGAAAGTACAGAAGCAACTAATAACTCCAGTGGAACGTGCCACAGCGGGGAAAAGAGGAGCCAGCCCCCCCATAGAGCACACTTGAACTAGCATCTGCCGGATTAATGGAAAACCTTGACATAGGAGGCTGCCGGGTCTGTTTTGTGGGTCGTCCAGAGGTAAAAAAAAAAATATTGCTGCAAGATGTAAACTAGGATAGTCTTATTCCAGAAGAACTCTAGTCTGCTTACCATAGACATGTTTCATTAGACAATGTCCTGTTCATAGTATGCAATAATGAACTGTGGTCTTGCATATCTATATAGAAGCCTATGAATAAAAAGTGTACTTTTTCATTTCCAGTCATTTCATTTATGGAACTGGCTAACACACATGTTGGGCATCTTATGCTATATATTGTGGGATAATGCATAGACCTGTCCAACCTCATTTTAGTTACTCTCCTCTTTTTTTTAATTCCACCCATCTTTTCTTTTCTCTTTATGTTCTATACTAGATAGTGCAAGCACCACTACTTCTAGCAGCTGGAGTCCTCCCATGACAGGGTCCAAACTTTTAGCATGTGTTTAGCCTTCAAAACCAATAAATATTGCAATGCCAGGACACCGCAAAAAATAATGTGTCAAGAACAGCGTTAAAGAATACAAAAGATTACAATTATAACTAAGAAAATGAAGAATACACAAATACATATACACTGCTCAAATAAATTAAAGGAACACTTTTTAATCAGAGTATAGAATCAAGTCACCTAAAATCCTGGGATATTGATCTGGTCAGTTAAGTAGCAGAGGGGGTTGTTAATCAGTTTCAGCTGCTTTGGTGTTAATGAAATTAACAAGAGGTGCACTAGATGGGCAACAATGAGACAACCCCCAAAACAGGAATAGTTTTAAAAGTGGAGACCATTGACCTTTTTTTCCCTACTCATCTTTTCTGACTTTTTTTTCATTAGTTTTGCATTTGGCTAGGGTCAGAGTCACTACTGATAGCATGAGGCGATACCTGGACCCTACAGGAGGTTGCACAGGCAGTCCAACTTCTTCAAGATGGCACATCAATACGTGCCATAAGCAGAAGGTTTGCTGTGTCTCCCAGCAAAGTTTCAAGAGCATGGAGGAGATCCCAGGAGACAGGCAGTTACTCTAGGAGAGCTAGACAGGGCCATAGAAGGTCCTTAATCCATCAGCAGGACTGGTATCTGCTCCTTTGTGCAAGGAGGAACAGGACGAGCACTGCCAGAGCCCTACAAAATGACCTCCAGCAGGCCACTGGTGTGAATGTCTTTGACCAAACAATCAGAAACAGACTTCATGAGGGTGGCCTGAGGGCTGAACATCCTCTAGTGGGCCCTGTGCTCACTGCCCGGCACCAGAGAGCTCAATTGGCATTTGCCATTGAACACCAGAATTGGCAGGTCCTCCACTGGCGCCCTGTGTTTTTCACAGATAAGTGCAGGTTCACCCTGAACACGTGACAGACATGAAAGGGTCTGGAGAAGCCATGGAGAACGTTATGCTGCCTGTAACTCCGTTCAGCATTACCATCTTGGTGGTGGGTTAGTGATGGTCTGGGGAGAAATATCCATGGAGAGACGCACAGACCTCTAGAGGCTATACATTGGCACCTTGACTGCCATTAGGTATTGGAATGAAATCCTTGGACCCATTATCAGACCCTACAGTGGTGCAGTGGGTCCTGGGTTCCTCCTGGTGCACGACAATGCCCCGCCTCATGTGGCGAGAGTATGCAGGCAGTTCCTAGAGGATGAAGGAATTGATACCATTGAATGGCCCCCAAGCTTGCCTGACCTAACTCCAATAAAACATCTCTGGCATACCATGTTTCGGTCCATCCAACGCCGCCGGAGGAAATACCCAAGGACACCATCTGTCGTCACATTAGGAGCATGCCCTGACATTGTCAGGCATGCATACAAGCACGTACACATTACTGAGTACCATTTTGAGTTGCTGCAATGAAATTTCAGCAAAATGGACTAGCCTGCTGCACCATTTTTGCACTTTGATTTTCAGGGTCTTTGAATTCAGTCCTCTGTAGGTTAATAATTTTCATTTCCATCAAACGATGGGGCATTCTTAAGTTCTTAACACATTACTCAGTCCATATCAGTATAGATATCCAGCATGATATTTTTTCCCCATTGAGATACGATGTGTTTTCAAAGTGTTCCTTTAATTTTTTTGAGCAGCGTATTACAAGAAATGTGTTTCCTAAATTCCTTATGAAAATCAACAACTAAGTAATAGTCTTGAAAAACAAACCCAGCATAGCAACAAAGATTTTAGTTTGCTAAATGTAGTTACAGCAATGAAATGGTTGTTTGTTAGGGGGATGCTGCCCATTTCTATTACCCTTCTGATATGTGTGTCATAGCAATATAGAGTTATTATAACCTGTATTTCTTGCTGGAGTCATCCGAATGAATAATCTCTTGTTGGAGCCGCTCTGCTTTGTTCCTGAGAAATGTGTTATCTTCAGAAAGTCTAGTCAGCTCCATCCTATGCAAAGACAAAGCAGAACATAAACATCATCATCACTAGATATGCACAGAAAGTGTAATAATGGTTGAAAAGAATTAAAGAGGACTTGAACTCAAAAAGTAAAGGTCTGCTATTGTATAGAGAACATTAAAAATATAAAATGTGCCTAAACAGTGCCCTGTAAAAAACATCTTCTGTTTTGAATTCCTCCTGAAAAACAGCAGTGCACATCCTGGTAGGCGAGGGTGTCTAGACACTCTCATAGTTATCTGCAGCTGGAGACCCCTAAAGCCTTATACATATGGGCTGAAAATCGTCCGATTCAGCAGGATCCGGACGACATTCGGCCCACGTGCACAGCTGTATGCTCTAAAAAAGCCTGTCTCACGACTGGCTTCTGTCGAAAGGGGATGCTGGAAAACCAGCATCCGACCCGCATATGAACAGAACTTACAGCCATTGACTCTGAGCAGTGTCTTCTGGTGGGAAGGGGAGAGGGAGTTGAGGCCCTCTGTCAGAATAGAATAGCACTGTGGAGAAAAAAAATTGCTGCACTAGCATCACTTTTGTTAGTACAGCGAACTCTCCTTTTTTGTTCAGCCATCTGGTTTGAACGAAAAAAAACTTCTAGTGTGTACCAGGCATTACACTATATGCTAGTCTCAGGGGATATGGAGAGAGATTTGGTGGTGTTACTACTGTGCTGCCCAATGATCTCCTTGCTGGAGGCTCTGACATGAGGAAGTAAAGTCCTGCCTCTACTAAGATAACCATGTCTACAAAAAGACAAAGTATAAAATAAGGCATGGTAAGTTAATAATGGGTAGAGATAGCTGCAGGGAGCCCACAGGCTACAATATTGGCTATTTCTCTGCATATCTTTCATTGGGCACAGCTTCCAGGGTTTTCTGTAAGAGGAAGGTAATACATAGCATTAGCTACAAGCCATCATATATGACCTAAAACTCTAAAACTAAAACAGATCAGGTCTAATTTAAACGGTCACCTGTTCCGAGAAAAGAAAAAATCATGGCTGTCATTACAGACCTTCTGAAAATGATAGTTCCCTGGCTTTGTCTAGTTTTTAAAATGTAAACACTGGGAAAAAATATGCAGATCAGTAAAGCCAGAGTGAAGTCAGACCCCCTCTTCCCTACACAATTGTTTCAGATCAGTAATTTAAGAAAAACTGAAGCTGCTGGACCATTATGACATCCAGGGAATTAGGATTTCAGAAGAGGTCATCCTCTATACTTGAAAGACACCTTTAAAATGGAACTTTAGTCAGAAAATTAAGTCCTGCTAGATCTTCACAGGCTGGCCCCTTTTGAAGGTATAGCTATGTAAAACATCTTTAAAAATAAGCGTCTATACTGTTTAATATACAGAAATACACTGTCTCACCCTGCTCTGCACATGCTCAGTTGCTCTCTATTTTTTGGCACTGCCAAAAATCTAGAGGCCAATCTGCTGACAACCTAAAGATTTACTGCTGCTCAGGGGCTCTGGACTACAGTAAAATGGCAGCTTCCAGCAAGAAGAAAAAGGAGCAATTGTGGAGACAATTTACACCACACACTAATTTTTGTAGCATAATTATTAATGTGGAATGTATATTCCCTGCTAAAGAACATTATTCTTCATTGTGTTGTTATGGGTAAAGTTCCACTTTAACAAAATCTGGACTTTCAATTTTACATGGATGTCATACTGAACCACTGGTTTATATATTGGCTGTATATTCTCAACAATCACCTTTAGGTAGGTTCTCACACAACATACAGTAGTAGTTAATCTAAACAGCCAATTCCATTCAATTCTGCCCATAACCAGTAAATTTGATAAAATTTCTCTAATATTGTACAAACACATTATAATTTATAAAGTGAGCCAGCTTTATATCCCACATGGACTCCAGTGTAAAGACATTCTCAACATAAATTCCCATACTGCACCATTAGTTATAAAGCCAAATGATGGCTATGGCCTTCTTCAATGGATTCTCCATAATTCTCCATAATAAAAATTTTAAAAAGTAAATATGGTGTCCTACTTGCAAAAAGTGACACATCTGATTCCTTGTATGACAGAAAAACCGCTGCAGGCAACCTTACAACCAGTTTCCAACAGAATATTACTATTATACAGGATTTATTATACAGGATTATAGGAGATTGTTTACTTTTTGGTACCCAGTTTGCTCTGTTCATAGCTGTTCATCAGATTACAAAATTCAGATTTTAGTGGAATCAAACAGCCGAACTGTGAAAATGGGCAGCACACTGTTCTTATTTAAGAGTGAAAACACATGACAAAAACAGGCCCAATGTGAGCTATGACAGTAATAATACCGGCAAATCATGGATGTCAGCTATTGTAAAAAATTCAGCACCTGTACAAAAAAACACATACATAAGTACACAAATTCACTCTTCCCCCAACACATTACAAATCCACTGTTGCATAAATGGCAGTGTTAAACATTAATTCCAAATTCATAATTCGGCACGTATAGGAATTATATTATATTTATGGCAAGCTTGAAAAATACTTGGTTTTTATGATTAATCATAATTAATATTAAAATGTTTGGTTGGAGTATTTGGAGTTAAGTTAACTAGCTGGAAACTGAGTATTTAGGACATTTCAATAGATGGGCATAGCTGGTTAGAAGATCTCTGGTGTAGGATGTCATGGGAGTCAGAAGTGAACCAAAATAGAATTAGTATGAAATAATATATATTCTAATACTATTTGTGTGTATTTAATTTATGTTTTATAAGTTGGTAATATGTGTTACATAAGTAGATTTTAGGTTATACAACATTATTGAGATATTATGTTATAAAGATAGATTCTTAGTTATACTATCCTTTAAACAGAGAACTGGTCACATGAGTAGGCTGATGCAACATTGTCAACTTATGAAGCCACTACATATGGGCTTGTCAATCAAAAGACCACACACACATACATACATACACATATATATATATATATATATATATATATATATATATATATATATATATATAAATATATTGAAATTGCTATAAGCAGAATTGTTTATACAAAGTTCTGAGTTATAAAATGACCCCTCCCTTCATTAAAAAATTGCTCTACTAAGCAGAAACACACACAGAGAATTATGTTTGCCATACAAAGTTCTGAGTTATGAGTACATACACAGAAATGACGTACATACACACCACACATTAACATACACAGACACAAAATACATACACCAAAGACAGGGGCGGCTGACAACTCATTTCAAGCCCCTGGGCTAGCCTATGAAAAAGCCAGGCATCTTAGAGTTACACCCTGGGCCCTTGGGCAGTGCCCGAATTTCCAAACACACACACACAGACACCTGTACACACACACACACACAGACACATGTACCTACACACATGTACATACACACAGACACATGTACAATTGTACATGCATACACAGACGGTACTTCACTGTTCACTCAGAGCCAGGGACTAGAGGGACACTTGCACCCCCACTGCGCTCCATATTGTTCTGACAGCTCCCAGTGCCAATGACAGATCCGCCTGAGCTCCGAGCTCAGCAAGAGCCCTGGGGGACACACTTGCCCCCACCAATTTCACTCATTGTGAGCAGGCGAGTGGAAATTTCAAACCCTGTCCTAAGAGATGCGAAGGACACAACACATACATCCATCCATTCACACACACACACAAACAAGCATGGCATGAAGACACTATGGTTATTCACAGACTGATCAGCTGAAACAGATGCATTCTCTTAGAGACCTAAGATCACGCCACTTCCTTCTTCTTGCTCAGACTCGTGCTGCATTGAACAGACAAGAAGCACATGGCAGGACAGCCATGACAATAAGGTTGACACATCTTTACAGCTTATGTTTTTATATTTTTGTTTTACCTACACTGAATTGTTATGCATGATACATTTTACATTGTTATTTTAAGCCATTGTGTGATAAAAATAAAATCACACTTTTATTTTTACTTTGCCGGCTCTTTAATTATCTGAAATTGCCTGAAGACACTAAACATTATTATATGTGTCTCAGAAAATTCTACAGGCAGTTTCTGGGCACAAATTCTGTTCATACCAATATACATTTTGGAAGAAGATCAAAAGAATGTAGCTGTCTATTTTGATCTTTAGAGACTACATTTTAACCCTTCATGAACTGAAGCCGAGGTCCCAAACCTTGTAAGCTCATGAGCCACATTCAGATACGAATTATAAATTAACCACTGGAAACAATATCAAGAAAAAAAGCATAACATAACATATTAAATTGCTTAAAGACTTGTCAAGACTTGAACAAACAAGTCTCTGCTTGGCCCATGTCTACAGTAAGTGTAACATCTGATGAGTGTTTTTACTACTCCACCAATTAAATTCTATTACCGTGTTTGCCGGCGTATAAGACGACTTTTTAACCCATGAAAATCTTCTGAAAAGTCGGGGGTCATCTTATACGCCGGTATACGGCGAGCCGGTGTCAGGGCGGCACATTTTTCAAGGGGCGGCGCGGTGGCGGAAGGGACACTAAGTACAGGGGTGGGCAGGGGGCTGCTGTACCTTACCTGGCTCTGGTCCCGGTCCCACGACGATCCGGTCCAGGAAGTGCGGCTGCTCCTTCTTTCAGTTCGGCCACTCGATGGTCGCGCGCGGCTGCTTGGCTCCACCTCCTCACCGGTGATTGGGCGCCAGCACTGGAAAGGCACACAGGCGACCAATCACCGGCGAGGAGGCGGAGCCGAGCGGTTCCCCCATCGAAAATCGAGTGAGGAGCGGCCAGTAAGTGTGCAGCAGCACCATGCTGTGACACTCTTGGCACTATTCCTCTCCTCCACTGACACCAACGATGAGGCACTGTTCCTCCCCCACTGACACCAACGATGGGGCACTACGATGGGGCACTATTCCTCCTCCCCAATGACACCAATGATGGGGCACTATTCCTCCCCCACTCACACCAACGATGAGGCACTGTTCCTCCCCCCACTGACACCAACGATGGGGCACTATCCCCCCCCCCCCCCCACTGCGACAGCAATGATGGGGCACTTTTCCCCCACTGATACCAACGATGGGGCACTATTCCTTCCACTGACACCAACGATGGGGCACTATTCCTTCCACTGACACTGGGACACTATTCCCAACACTGACACTAATGGGGCACTATTCCTCACACACTGACACTAATGATGGGACACTATTCCTCACACACTGACACTAATGATGGGGCACCATCATACACATGACATCACCTATAATGTATGATAAGAAAAGTAACAAGGTCTATAGAGTAATTGAGCCAAGTGTGGTAGATATACAACAGCAGGTTAATATGTGGATTATCACAAGGCTGGTACAAAGAACATGCCAGTTGGAAACATGAGCAGCTGCAAAAAGAAGAGAAGCACATGTGGCTCAAAAGCCCCTGATCGTAGACCACTGATATAAACAATGAGGTTCTATCTTGATTCCATTTGATTTCCCTTATCATGCAATTCTGTATGACTGAAGATGCATCTGAAATTGCACCAATGTGAACCTAAAAGACGGTGCTTAAATCATGAATCATTAACCAAACAATTTCCAGTAAACGACAGCCTTTGACAATTTAATTTTAAACGGATTGCTGCCTATTACTGTAAAAAAAGCCCCAATATATAAACTGTAAAGCTAAGCAGTAGCAAAATAATACATCTAAAAAGCACAGCAAGGTGAATAACGAAACTTCTGTTTGTGCTACTATTTGCTGTTCAATTCTGAAATTTTGTTTTGTTAGTGTGACCAAAGATTAAATAGTATATAAAAATAAAGAAAGGCATGCCTCCTTTAGTAAAAATAAATATATAAATATACTGTTAATGGTAAATGTTTAAAGGGGAAATTTAAGAACATGGAAAAATAAAAAGGTAAACCGGATCATACAGTCTTGACTATGATCAATTTTTATAACCATTCCCGTTTTTATTTTGCTTTCATAAATGTCCCCAATGAACAGTGAAAAAAAATACCCTGCAAATTGAATTGATTAGCACCCTGGAAAAAATTATAGGAAAGTTACAAACATGTATAAGACGTTGCACAAGCATTAAGAATCTAGAAAATGTTGCATTTTAAAAGTCAGTGGGGGTTAGTATTGTGTTAGGTGCTCATTCAGTGCAGTTTAAATGGAAAAAAATCCATCATCTAACCTGTCATCCTGATTTGAAATGGTTTCTTGCTCTAGCCTCCGTACCAAGTCTTCTAGCTCAAAAAGCCTGTCTTTGACATAATCCTTCTCTCTTTCCAGGTGTTCGGTGGTTTCCCGGATTTCTTTGGTTGCTAGGTGTTCTAGCTCCTGGCACCGATTCATTGCTTCTCTGAGATGCACTTGCAGGAGGTTTAATATGTCGTCCTTGTTTATCAGCTGCTGGCATAACGAGGGATTGTCATCAACAAGCTCTTTGTCGTTTCCGATAAGGTAATAGCACTCATTTTTAGGTTTGCAATCTCCACCTAGCTCTTGCTCTAGTCCTTTCTTTCTCAAAAGCTTGTACTCCAAGCCAATATGGCCTGCTAGCACTGCCACCTGTTTCTCCAGCTCTTCTTTCTCTCTGCCAAGCATCTGAAGTGCCGATTCCAGGTTTTGGACATGCGCATCGCCTTCAAGCAACTGAAAGGTCAGGTCTTTTGATTTGTCCTTAGACATCATGCATTCATCTTCTCTTTTTTTTGATTGGTTGCTTACATGTTTTTGGTCTTCACCATATCCTTTCTGATGCCCAACAAGAGTCTCTTGAGCCTTTGTTTCTTCATGCAGCTGTGCTTTCAGGGAAGTTACCAAGCTCTCCATCTCTTGTAGTGTCATCAATACCTGCTCATGTGCTTGTTTTAAGGACGGTTCTCCTTCCAACACCTCTATAGCAGACAAGACCTGCTTGTGCTGTACGTGCAATGGTGCAGAATTGTTTTGAATCCAGACATTTTCATTCTGTTGCTTATTTGTAATGTCCATCATTTGATGCTCTGGCTCTGTACTTCCTGCCTGTAGAGAAAACAAATGCGGTCCTTCGTTCCCCTTTGTGCAATGATCACAGTGTCTATTCACTGAAGATTGCTTCGCTTTCTTGATTAGGTTACAGCTCTTGGCTTTTACCACAAGTGCATTCAAACCCTCAATTTCATTGTTAAGCCTATTAATGTGATCGATGTAGTAGTTTTCTAGCATTTCCTTTTCAATAGTGAAAGTTTTACAAATACCAGTTTGTTCCTCGTTTTGTTTCTCTACCAGGCTTGTCTGATGATTTTTCCATTTCCCCTTCTCTTTTTCTTGCCATCGGCTAATCTCATTCATGTGATTCTGTATTAGGGCCTTCTTTTCCAGCTCATGTTTTTGCACAAGTTCATTCTTTTCATTTAGATGCTGTTGTATTAAAGACTGGCAACACTCGGTATACTGGGATTCAATCTGTGCCAGTTTCTCAGCAAGTTCTTCCTCTGCCTCTTCCCTATAGACAAATGGATGGTTCACCTGAATTAAATATAATTATACATGCATTTTCCAGACCATGCCTTAAGAAAACTTTATTGTTTTGAATGTTAGCTAAGAAAGCCATCACTGGCAAACGCTGTAACCCGTAGCAAAAAACAAAACTTATAAAGGAAACAGCTCAGGTCAAATAGTTTTTAGAGAGCAATTAACATTTCACATGGCATTTAAAATTAATTATTTTTAACCAACCAGAAATCACCAGGATTTTGGCTCTCCTTGGATACTTGTTAAACAACCAGTGGTTCATGCTTATTTTATAAAGAAGGGCAAAGTAAAATTCACTACAGAGTGCAGTAAACCACAGCAACTAAATAAAATGAAAGTAGATGTAAATCCTAACTGAAATTAACCCTAAACAATTGCCATTTTTAAGCACAATACCACCTTTCTCCTTTTTTTATACTTTCAGTGCAGTTAAACATTTCCAGGCACTTCTTGTCTATATGCATGCACCCCAGCAATGTCTGAATTGCATTTCTCAAACAAGGTTTTCTGATGGAACAGGTCTGTACAGTGTCCAATGACACAGACACTTAGGGGTTTATTTACTAAAGCTGGAGAGTCCAAAATCAGACTCCCTTCTGCATAGAAACCAATCAGCTTCTAACCTCAGCTTGTTCAATGAAGCTTTGGCAATGAAACCTGGAAGCTGATTGGTTTCTATGCAGAAGGGAGTCTGATTTTGGACTCTCCAGCTTTAGTAAATAAACCCCTTACAGTCCCTATCAGAAATCCATGAGACAGGGTGACAACACGTAAGCATAACTGAGAAGCAAGGACAGAGCATTGTTACTCTATATCAGAAAGTGATTGAACAAAGACCTCCATGGCAAGATCACAAAGCATTATTTTAATGACAAGCTGTAGATTTATTAATATTGAAAATTTACTTCTGAAATGACTTTAAAGATGAATAATAGGTATGGTTCTGAATTGCATAGCTACACATTGCCTTAAAAAGCTTGCAGATAGCAAGTGAAAATATAATTTGTCTCCATAACGTCTTTCCTATGTTCTGAATGTATCCTTGGCATGCAATCCATGGGAGGCTTTACATCATAAGCCTATAAACACCAGCTGAAGTAGGTGATCTTTGTTTTCCTGGCAGCCTGCCATGGTCCACAAGAAGCTCACCTCTATTTTGAATGATACACATGCTCAATATCTGAAGGTTTGGGAACCATGGGTGGCCTACAACAACAATCTGAAGCTGGACCACTCCTCGCTCTCGACTTGATGATACTAATGTGGTGTGGTTCCCCATCACGGACCTATGGTTGTATCCTGTGGGATTCCCCCTCCTCCTCTCTTTCTTTCTCCTCCTATTATTTTTTTGTTTTGGGCTTCCATAGGTTCTTGTTTCATGCTGGCTTGTATCTGTATGAAGAACATGGACCATAATCTCCCCCCGGGTTTTGGGTGGCTCTGATCATGCATGAAGTGCAAATCTCCTGTCCTGGTTGTGACGTTTTCATTCTGGTGGTTGTTACACCGTCTGTTTGCCTTTCTACTGTCTTTGTAATAGTTGTAAAAGAATTTTACTTTACTATTGGCCCACTTTCTGTTTCTCCTATTGTCTTATTGACATGCACTACTTTCAACAGCATTGTAATTTGTTGTCTGTAATTTACCTTTTTGAAAATTTCAATAAACACATTGTAAAAAAAAAATTGTCATTCTTCATATGGTTTTTAACCACTTGCGGTTTTTAATTTTTCAAACCTGTTTTCTACCTAGAGAAGATACCTAGTTATGCATGGGGAAGTTAATGGCAACCGCTCTTATGACTCCATCTCCCCCGGACTTTATAAACAGTATATAAAAAATGGTGAATGCTGCAACTTCTTTATGATGATTTTTTATGTAAGATTGCATATTCCATACCTGCTGGGACCACTGTGGAAGAAGAGAATCAGTGTAGTAGTTGTTGCGGACTTCTGGGTCCTGCGATGTCACTGCCACTCCATCTCATTCAATTAGAAAAGCACTTTCCATTCATTGAGAAAAATGCAAGGCACTCTGAATGACAGCTGTGCCAAGTGAGTGACCCCCTGTGGATACTATGCAGCAGGGCAGCCCCTCGGTACAGGAACCAGAAGACTGCAGCTATCACTGTAGTAGTGATAACCACTACAAGAATTCTCTGCTTCCACAGCTATTCCACTGGTATGGAATATGTATACTTACACTGGTCCAAGCTGAACTAACGTAACTATGCAATACAAACCATACATAGAAATCAGCATTAACATTTAAAGCTCACATATTTTAGTAGTTGGGGTTACATAAATTTAAAAGCTGAAATCCAGGGGAAAAAATGTTTTTGCTGCTGGGTCCAGCTTGGTTACCTCCAATTCTTTGTATACTACATTCCGTGGGAATGCAAATCATTGTATTGTATTATGATGCAAACCATTGTCAGCTTTGACCTTCCAGCTCAACTTCTGCAAGTTCAAACACTCATTACAGTAATGATAGGGGATCAGTCAGTCTTCAAATCATCCATTCGGAAAACATCTGTATTCATTTAATTGAATACAAGTCTTTCTGTGAATGGACAAGGAGAGGGGAGGGGCAGGTGAACATCAGGATTTCACCTTGTCTTTGATAGATCAAAGCAGACACTGCTCTGTTGCATAATGCAACTACGATTTTTAGCATCCCAAGCAACCCTCCACATGTAGTATACCAAGAATCTGAGGTACCTAAGCTAGACCCAACAAGCATAAAAAAAATAGTGTCAAGTGTTACTAAACCCACAACAGTAAAATCAGTCTGTATATGCAGTAAAATATGCTGGTTATACTCACTGTAGAACCTAAAGGGTTCATCCTCTGCATTGTGTAAAAAAATGGTTGATCCTGACTTCTCTGATCCACCCCTTCTTTCAGTGTCCCTCTCTTATCTCCTGATAAGACATATCATGTGGAGACACTCTGCACGTGCTCAGTTTAGTGTGTTTCGCTAGAGGTTTTTTTTTGCTTTGGGGAGTGCATGTGATCAGCACAGGGCCAATCAGCACTGTCCAGCAGAAGTCAGGTATTCTGCATCCTCCTAGAGCAGAATGAAAACTTCTCCTACAAGCTTTAACATGTGCACGGCTGGACACTGATAGAAGTCACAAGGCTGCTCTAACTGCTGATGAAAAAAGGTATTTAGCAGTTTATATTTACTAAAATAATTGCATTTCCATGTTCTGTGTACGGTGGGAGATCAGATATAGTGAATGCAGGGTACTGGGTTTAGTAACACTTTAACTTTAATTAGTTTAGGAACATTTCTAAGGATTTCTTCCCTTAGCACTTTTTTATAAGGTATGTCTGTATGTATCTGTTACTTTAGGACAATAAGCAAAAATAAAACATTTTCCACTGGCATAACACATACTTCAATATTACAGACAAAAGCTAAATGATGTATTGCAAAACAGCATGTTAACATGCAGCCAACCAAGCAGACATGCTAGAAAATTTCAGAAAAGTTCTTAGAAGTACAGCATACATGCTCTGTGTCAGCAAATGATTTAAAGTAACATTTGGAGAGGAGGATTAGTATAAGGAAAAAAAAAATGCCTGAGACAATCAGATTTTAACATTTTAAATGTTCTTTATCTTTATGCGGAAAAAATGATAACAGAAAACCGATTGGTTGTTATGGCCAATAGAACCATTTGGGATAGAACTGGTCTCAGACAGGTTTTCTTAATTTCTGGGGGGGGTGTATATCTCCCTATAGATCAACTCCACCTCAACAGGTATAATTAATACAGTTAAATTGGTTCTAAATGCTAAGGCTCCATGCTCACTAGCGGCTTTTTTTTTTTCTAAGGTCAAAAACAACGGATAAAAAACACTGGTAATGGCGTTCTTTTAGTAGTGTTAATAGCGTTTTAGGAACATTTAGGAGTGTTAGCATTTTAGAAGCATTTTTACAGTACATTTAGGGAAAACAAAAAGCTGTTAGCAGTGTTTTAGGAGAGTTAAGCTTTTTCTTCTACTGGCAAATCGCTCCCAAATATGCAACAAAAAGGGCGTTTTTTTCCCTGCTCCCAGAAGCTGAAGTTTGAAAAAATGCTTCTAGCCTACAATGCAATCCACACTATACTTCTAGGGGCAGAAAAAAAAAAAAAAAAAAAAGCCCACTAGCTGCCAGGAGCTTAAAAATAAGCTAGTGTGCATGGAGCCTAAGTCCTCATGCACACTGGACATTTTTACAGCTGCTGTTTTTGGCTTTTGACCTTTTTTTCCTACAGCCAGTAAATTCCCCAGAATGTTATCCCA